AGAGCAGATGTCGATGAAGTCAGATTGATCCGGGCGCCGCGGTGCGTTCAGGGACGAAGTCAGTTCACTCCATGTCAACAGAGTTCATCTCGTTGAGAAACATCTGACACTTGGCCATAAGAACTTTGATGGCCTCTGTGACTAAAACGTCAGGAAGCAAGATCCCCGTTGACTCCACGGTGACTGGGAAAGGAAAGAGCAGATCTGGATTAGAACTTCCGAATAAAACACTGCTATTAACGTGGGAACTCCATCCAACAGGCCCTAATCCAGAGTAATCTAATGAAAACAGACTTGATTCATCACCTGCTACTACCTAAGCTGATCTCATTACAGATGATGTTACAAAGAGGATGTTCCCTCCCACATCAATCTGAGCTGTTGGAGCAATCCTTGGACACTGGTTGTATGTGGATAATAGATGCAGTTCAACAGAAAGATATAAATAAGAAAAAAAAACAGTAATGACTCAGGTTTTAAAGGGATAAACTAGAATATTTTAAGTTCTACAAAGAACACCATCAGTGGTTTTCTAGGTGGATATCATATCACAGTGAATCTGTAGAGAAGAAACTCTCATATAGTGGAAGGAATAGCAGGCCAGTTCAGTTAGTTCCAGCAAATTTGAGCTTTTTAAAGTGTTTCCATTTGTGGGACACAGCACCAGATCTACTGATATTCTTCTTCTCTTTGGCACAAACTCAGTGGAATATGGCCACGTCCTCCTATTGCTAATGGGACTGTGGCTGGAAAGAACTTCAAAGAACACCGTCTCCTTGAACTGGTAAGTCAAGGGACTGAGGCACCAACTGGTGGTCACTGGTGAGACTTCTGGTAAATCAATGTGAATCTATGGTTTTAGAGGGACAGATGTATGTGTTTTCCAGGCACAATCAAGTACATATTGTTGTTATAATAATTATATATATATAAAAAGCAACAAATATCAGGTACGACTAAAAAGAGAAATTAGACTTTGCAAATTAACAACTTGAAATTGGGACTCTATCTCTTTAAGGAATTGCTGCCCTTTCTGAGACGCCATCAGAAGATGGCTCCTCTATTAACCCTTTACAGTTTTTACAGGTTTTACCAGAAGTAGCTCAACAGATACACATTTCCACCAGGGGTTTGCTAATTGCTGCTGGCTAGTCTGAAGGGACCAAGTGGGGGCGCTATGGAGGAGGAGGCTCCTTCTGGGGACTGCAGCTCAGAGGAGGAGCTGTGTGGAAAAGGCAGAGCTCAGTGAGAGCATCTGTTTGGGCAGTTCTGAATGGTTGCCATAGAGATTTAAGGAATTTCTCAAACATGCATGAAAGAATCAAGGCAACAGTCCAGGTATGTTTTTGATGAGGGAATAACATTATAACATAATTCAAGTTTCAAAAAAGTTAATTTTAAGTACTACTGCTCCTTTAAATTAATGAGTAGAGCAGATGTTATTCAGTGATGATCTAATGTATTCATACCTTGAGTGTAAATTTATCTTTTCTAGATTTTTTTTTACAAACTTCCAGGCCTTGATTTCAACACAGACCAGAACTACACAGGTCAGGTTAGCAAACAGTGAATGATCCTGTCTCATGAGCGGCTGCCTGTTCTCAGAGCAGCTACACGGCAACGGCAGTTTATACAGACATACAGATGAAATGGTCTCGAACTCTTCCCAGCTTCACGCAGTTCTTCAGATCGTTGTGTCGGAGGACCTCCCTGCTGCACGTGTCCAGTCGGCTGTTCACAACCTTGGCGACCTTTCTTCCTGAGATCCATAAGCCAGAACTACCATTACTATTTAGAAAGTTTCTGGTTTTATTGTTGAGTGTTTTCCTCCTTCCTCACCCCGAACATCTTCCAGGTCTATGACGCCCCGTGAGAAGCAGCGCTTCAGGCGCTCCGCCTTCTCGCCCTCCACCGGCTCCAGGAGGGTGATCTCTGGGAGGAGGCGGTAACTGGCCGTCGCCACAGGAGAGAACTTAGCATGGTCCTTACCTGAAACCACAACCACACATCGTCAGGGTCGCCTCAATCTACGACCTTAAAGTGGCAGTATTATGTATTTTTTTATATTTTTCATGCCCGGGCAAAGCTCCTAGAAAAATAACCAGGCCCTGTCCCTACATGGCATGACGGTGTATATTTAAAACATCCACCCCTGTAGGATCTTACCTATTCCTTTCACACAGTGCATGGTGATGTCCAGCTCCTGTCCGGGTCGCAGCTGTGCTATTAGAATGTCATCGTGCACAGGGCGAATGCAGGAGTCCGCAAATACATCCGCCTGGTTGCCGATGGGGACCCATTCTATGTGTTTGGAATAAACTGTGAAAGTGAATATAGGAACAGACACAAGGAAATCAGATTAGGACTTTGTTTTGTCTCAAGGAGACAAAAGGGACAGAACGACATCCATCCTGACTTTGTTACAGCTGCTGGACCTGCAGGTAAAACAAGTTGGTTAAAATCATAGTCATTCCTTCCAACTGAAATGAGACAGAAATGTACTAGTAAATATGTGACTGTCACTTTTTCTGACATCCTAAGTCTGATCTCATCTTGTGTTTTGGAGGGGGCGGGCATAATGAGATCTCTGCCTTGGACTCACCCATGTGGTTGAGATAGAGCTCTCGGGGGTCCGAGGAGTCTTTGCTGGCTCGGGGGTTTCTGCTGCATTTGATCTTCAGCTGGAGTTGAATGGTGTCTATTTCTGAAGCTTCTTCTTCTGCAGATTCTTCACCTGGAGGTTGCAGAACAACACGACAGCCGGCGGTTTGTTTAACTGGACTGCAGCTTATTTTACAAGCGCCTGGGGGAAAACCCTGGTTGGTGTGCGAATGTCCAAATCAAATATGCCAGGTGCCTCAGGCAGCAAAGCATAATGGGTAATGTAGTTCACTACCCTTTCTCAGGGACTAATTTTGTTGCTTTCACCTGTATTCTTGAACTCAAACAGACGAGGGTCGGCTTTGATGGGTATGAGGCCCAGCCGGTGGGCCAGAACTTCATCCTGGACTATCGATGTGTTGTTATAGATGAACACTTTCTCTATGGCCATTGTGGGCACCTGCAAGCAAAAATAAAAGTTTCAGACATGGTGCAAATACACTTGATATATTTGAATGTAATGGTTTAGTATTTGGTTGACTTTTGGGCTGCTAGCTGATTGTCTTCCATGTTCTCAGCCTGTTGGCGGCTCTTTAGTGCTTCTCAGGCTAGTTTCTGCTTCTAATCATTAGAGAAACATAGGTTTCTTTTCTGAAATATTTAACATTGAATGTTCTTTTTTTAAGTCATAAACGGACCTAAACTTTAGGAAAGACCTGTGTTCTTCCTATTCTCATCAGACTTAGTGTGAATCACAATAAAGTAGTTTATCATCAAACGCCACCACATATTCAAAAGTCTCAGTAAGAGATAACGCTTTTTTGGAGCAAAATGATTTATTCTTGCAAAGTGTCAACAGACTGATTGAAAAGAAGGAATGCAACCTCTGCCAATAAGATTCTCCTGAAGGCGTTCGCAATGGCAGCGTCGATCCCCACCATGTCGAACTCCATACTGTTCTCATCCAGATGCACTACGTCAATCCGGAAGTTCTGCAGACAAACAGGGGGAGAAGAAACAGTCGACAATACGAACAACTGTTCTGAACACCAGCGGCTCTGCGGCTAAAGGTTCTAAAAGCAGGAGGTTTAAAACATGGGATTTATTTTACAGACAATAAAACTCACCTTCTGAAATCGCTTCATGTCCCAGGTGTCATCAAAGCCTGGGTAGTTTCCAGGAAAATCTGTTGTGTGAACCTGTCACAAATTGAGATTCATTATAACACTTTTAATGATAATAATATAAATTGTGTTTTATTCAATATAAAAATGACAAATGAGAAGTGAGCTACAACAGTGAAAGACATACTATTCTCAGTAATGAGGGATAAGGTTTCCCCCAGGAAAGCCTGGTGGTTGTGTGCTGGAACAGTGATTGTTGAGTGTGGTCACTGTGTTGACATGATGCATGTGTTCAATATATCTAGTTCTACATAAAGAACTGAGCATATTCTATCCATTAAAACACCACTAGTTACACGTAACGGAATAAATGTCAGATTTTACTTAACTCTGCTGTGTTTAAAGGAGGACACAGTTTAACACCGAGGCTCTGTGTTGCTAACTGTTGTCTCTACCTGGCAGGGGTACCAGCTGCTGCAGAACACCGGAGCCGCTCAAACTCATACATAACACGACCACACGCCGTGGCCGCATCCACACACAGTACACAGAGAAACACAGTTCCAGAAACTACTTACATTCTTTACACCGAATTCTCCCAAGATTACCCGACTGCGAATTTCCTCCACGTTACTCATGGGCGCTGCCATTTTAATTCTGTCGTCTTCTTCGTCACAGACGAGTCGTTAAGACAAAGTCCTGCTGCCCCCATGCGTCCAACTGGCTGTGCTGGATGCTGTGGTATAGAAGTCTAAACAAAGGCTTCTTTTTTTCCATTATTGAACCGTCAGGACATTAATGGGATTTATTTTCTTAATTCCCCAAACAATTCTTGATGACTTTTCCTATATTTATGTAAATGTGTTGTTTGGATTCTTCTCTTGTCCAATTAATGAAACAAAACACGTTTATGTTTTCAATCTAATTTTATTAGTCGCCAAATATCATAGGAGACCAATCACAGAGCCGAGAAAGCCTACTTGTCTGCCTAGCAACAGAGCGGAATGAAGTCTGACAGGATGACGAATAGTGTTGGAAATTTCAACACTTACTGGCTTATTTCTTCACAATTGTCTTCAATGTGGGGGTTGTCAGATCCCTCGTTAATTAGACATGTTTTGTATATATATTTTAATTCAGATGATGTAATTTAAGACCCATTTCAGTCAAAAATGCAAAAATAACCTCTCCTCTCCTCTCCTCTCCTCTCCTCTCCTCTCCTCTCCTCTCCTCTCCTCTCCTC